GAAAGAATATGGGAGAAAGTTAATTCAATGTGTGAATAAGTATGATCTGAATATTATAAATATTATAAATAAATAATATTATAAATAAATATTCAGAATTCTTCTACTCATCCCAGATTATATAAAACATGACTACACACTTTTTTAGCAAGATATTTTAGTGTGACCACATTTGTAAGTGGAAGAGGCCCTGTACTTGACCTCCAAGCATAATGGCTTACCCACAGCATTGTAGAGAGGCTCTCCTGTTAACTTGTCCCAGACTACAGTGGTTTCCCTCTGGTTGCTGACGCCAATAGCTTTAAAGCAAAAGTTAAAGAGAGTAGAAAATTAAACAAATAGAAAACTGCTTTAGGAGAACAGTTCAACTTTTTTTATAGGCACGACTAAACAAACAATTCCCCCCAAACTTTTGGAAGATTTGTAGTGGTATTAAATTTGTTTTCATTGAGTGGCCCTAAGAAAAACAAACACATAATGTCAAGTTTTTCTTTTTATTTCTACATATGCCTTGTAGCTTCAACACTAGCACATAGATATAGAGTCAGTTAAGTACCCAAAGGAAAGGCTCCCAGATTGCTTTAAGGAATGCAATAACTTTCGAAGATTATAATACCTAATTTATTATTCTGAGCAGACCAACATTCACCTCATTCATTTATTTACCAATTGGTATAAAAAATTTCCCTTCCCATATGTGTGTGGTTGTGTATATGTATGAAAATGCGTGGGTGCATACCTGAATTTTAAGAAGTAGCCCAGACAAAATCCCTCATGCTGAGCAACCTCATATTATCATTGATTTGAAATGAAGTTTTACTTCCATATTTTAATAATGTGTCACAAAACCTAAGAGTTTGAATTAGGCGCAAACAATATGTAATGGCATTTACATTATACTAACTACACATAACTCAGGTGCTATATATTTACAATAACATTATAAGTAAAGTATAAATCTCGACCATCTTATTCAGATCCATTTGGTTCTGGTAAATCAGAGATTGTCAGACTTGGCTGTAGTTTAAAATCAACTGGGGGGCTGGGGATGTGGCTCAAGCGGTAGCGCGCTCGCCTGGCGTGTGTGCGGTCCGGGTTCGATCCTCAGCACCACATACAAACAAAGATGTTGTGTCCGCCAAGAACTAAAAAATAATAAATATTAAAAAAAATTCTCATTCTCTCTCTCTCTCTCTCTCTCTCTCCTCTCTCACTCTCTCTTTAAAAAAAATAAATAAAATAAAATCAACTGGGGAGCTTCTTAAAAAAAAAAATCAACCTCTAAGCCCTGGTCAAAACATTCCAATTTAACTGATCTGGGGTGGGATCTGAACATTGTATTAGTTCCTATAACTCCCTAAGTCATTCTAACATGCATCCCAGAACACTCTGAGCCAAAGAATGGAGCACTCCCTGAATTTAAGACGAGGACAGACCTTAAAGGTTATATAATCAGTTACACTTTTATGCACAAATCTCCTCTAAAATCATCTGTCATGTGACCACACAGACTTGTACTTCTGGTAACAAGATACTACAGCTCTCAAGGCAGACCAATCTCTACTAGACAACTTTGGTATTTAAAAAAAAATCCTGAGGCTTAGTGGTAGAGCATTTGCTTAAGATTTCATGAGGCCCTGGATTTGATCCCTAGCACCACAGAAATAAAATTTAAAAACCCTTTCCTTGTGGCTTCCATCTACAGATCTTAGCCATATTCATTGGAGATATTTAAAATATAAAGTTAGTCTTCTTTCCATATGCCAGTTTTTCAAAAACTTCAAGTAGCTACTTTGTTGCTTAAGTCTTCCCTTCCACTATCCAGGCTAAACAATCCCAATTTCCTCAGCTGCCTCTGTTTCCACATGACAAGTTCCTTTACTACAGCTCCTGGGAATATACAACTATCTGTCCATATCATTCAAACTGTAGATGCAGAATAAAATACACTATTCTAGCAGTGTTTGGAGTAGCTCAGAGCTGAGGATGACCATCAGTTCTCTTGTTCTAATACCATTTATCCAATGTGGATTTACTTGCTTCATTTGACACCTTTTGTAGAGGTACAAGGTACAAAGATGATTGAACTTCTCTTCCAAAGATACTTAGAGGCATAAGTTAAAGGTAAGAGATCCTGGGTTAGTTGGTTGTAAAAATAGAACAATTATAGGAAGAAAGAAGAGAAAATGAGGACTGAGGCTGAAATTCAAAGGGACATGGTTGTGATGTGCAGAGACAGGAGGTGGCATGAATAGCACAGGCAGAGGGAGGAGCCCCAAGTGGGACAGAATCTATTTCCCTTATGATTAAGGAAATGGGGCACAGGGGGGCACAAAATCCACACATTAAGTACAGAAATAATGAAGGAATTAAGGTCCTAGAGCCTCACCTTTCTCTGTGAAGTAGGAGGCAAGGTTATATACTAAAATGAGGCCAAGCAAAAGCAGTGTCAAGAGTTTGGAGCAGGGCTGAGCATGGAGGCACACACCTGTAATCCTAGTGGCTCAGAAGCAACAAGTTAGGAGGAGTGTGAGTTTAATGCCAGCCTCAGCTATTTATCAAGGCCCTAAGCAACTCAGCAAGATCCCGTCTCTAAATAAAAAATATAAAATGGCTCAGAGGTTGAGTGTAAAAATGGCTAGGGGTGTAGCTCAGTGCCTAGCATGCGCAAGACTATAGATTAAATTCCTAGTTCAACAAAGAAAAAAAATTGGCAGGGGTTTAGGGCTCTTCAGTAGAATTTAGGCGCTGAAGCCAGACAGTTGAGGTTCAAATTACAATTCTGAGTTTCCTATTTTCTTTTGTCATAGTTTTGTCTCCTGTAAAATGAAGGGGTAAAAAAGTTCCTACCTTACTGGGTTATATTGGTGAGTCGATACATGTTAAAACAGATACCTGGCACATAGTAAGTACTAAATGTTACCTACTGCAGTTGCCATTATCATCATTACTGAGGAGAGAGTGACATAACAGTTGCAGAAAATGGGACACAGTTAAGCAGACACATAAAGGAACTTCCCAGAAGCTCTGTGGGTACAACAGTGGGACTTTGGCAGTAGGTTGCTACAGTGGAGTTTTGTAAACTTGTTAATTTAGTGACAACTTTTCAATGCAAAATCATAATAAATTATAATGGTAAACTAAAGTCTCCTACTTTCTCCTTACTACATTAATTTTCCTATAAACCAGCTGGCTACTCCCTTAGCTACAATTCTTGAGTCACCATTAGGACAGGCATCAAATAGTGCTACCTTCTTTATTGGCTCCTCCTGACTTGTACACAAGATTCTAATCTACAGCTATTTCCATCTGATTCTTTGGTCATGCGATCCTCCCCGACTACTCAATCTCCTCTATCTTAATTCTATTCTTTCATGCCAAGTAAAATTGCTTTCCTTGCAGACAATCAAAGTCCAGCAAAATAGCTTTTCAGTATTCTTTCCAGCCAGCACATCTTTATTACCCATTTCTCCCCAAGGCACACAGGTCTTTTGCAATGACTGAGTTTTTCCAAACCTCTTCCTATTTTACCCTAAAATCTATGTCTTTTAAAAAAACTTTTATGACTATTAATCCCAATGTATATGCCATTTTTAATGTCTCCTAATTTTAATCCCCTTTCTCAGAATAATATATGCAAGTTTTGTAATTCTCCACCATAGTTCATCTGCACCACATAGAGGCAGGCAAAAATTAAGAGGTTAAAAAAATAAACCCCAAAAACATTATACAGTTTCATATAGAAGATATGTACTTTGGCTGGGGCTGGGGCTCAGCAGTAGCACACTTGCCTAATGTGTGAGGCACAGGGTTCAATTCTCAGCACCACATATAAATAAATAAAATAAAAGGTCTATCAACAAATAAAAAATACTAATAATAAATGCAAAGGAAGAGAAGGCTGGGAGTGACAGAAATGTGTAAATGTTGGGTAGGGTAAGGCAGTGAAGGAATGGATTTGTGAGTTTTCCTTTTCTCAGAACAAAGTAACTGGTTTAGATACAAGAGAATTTAATTCTTTAGAATTCTGAGCCTTTGTTACTAACACAGTTTATGTTTTATTTTGCTTTTTTGCATGAAAGAGAATGAATGAGGAATATTTGCTATTGTAATTCCTTATACTTGCTGATTCTTTCAGTCCCATGACACAGGTGCTTGACTGAAAGTTTAGTAGGAAAGAAGCAGAATATTTTCTTGCTTTGGGCTAGAATGTGCAGTTAAATTTGAGAATGAATTTTAATTTTGAGGACATTGTTCATAGTAATCTGAAATCAACAGACTTTTTGAAAGTTGAAGACAACTAAAACCAATGAAGCAGGAATTTGTGAAGGAAATACAACCAGATATGTATGATGAGCTCTGTTAATAATTACTAGGTAAGATTATAAATGCATCACTCATCAGCTGGCAAAGCCAATTTACCTGCCACACAGCAAATATATAAATAAATGGTTTTTGAGATTATTATCAGCATAGCTCAGGGGAAAAAAAGCACTGGTCTAGGAATTACAGGAGCTGTACTTTAATGCTATTGAACCCTAAACAGCAGCATGATCTCTAGTAAGTCCTCTTCCCTCATTGCAGCTCGAGGAAATTGGTCTATATTAGTGAAGATCTTTTAGAGCTTTAACAATTTGAGATTTAGATCTCTATACAGGAAAGTGAAAGCTTGCTCATTAGCAATGCCAATTCAATAAATTATCAGAAGAAAAGATTAATACAACTGGCCTTGTATAGAGGGGTTTGTGAGACACTTTTCATCCCTGGCCATAGGCTGGTAATTATGGAGAGAAAAAAATGCTGGGTCACCTTGGCTCAGGTAGGGGTTTCACGTTGGCCAAAGAAAGAGGAGTGTAAAGAAGAGGGCTTCATGTTCAATTACAGACCAGTTAGTGCAAGTAGAAGACAAGTCCCTTGGGCAGTTGTGTACATCTTCATATAAACCACACACACACAAAAAAAAAGTGGGAAAATGAGTGGCACCCGAGTGGGTGCAGAAGGAATAACATATTACAGCCCAACTTAACCTGTAAGGAAGGTATAACAATGTCAATGCATAGTCAGTCCCCCTGTACTCCACATTCTGAACATGACAAGCCACGTAGATTACCTATGTCTTGGGAATGACTATTTTGACAGTGTTTCTGATTGCCTATTATTTATCTGCACTGCTTAGAACATGAGAGATGTAAACATAGCTTTAAGAAATGATCAAGAGGGCTGGGGATGTGGCTAAAGGAGTAGCGCGCTCGCCTGGCATGCGTGCGGCCTGGGTTCGATCCTCAGCACCACATACCAACAAAGATGTTGTGTCCGCCGTGT